ATATGTATATATATATACATACAGACAGATGAAAACTACAGGGCGCGCATTGAGACAACAAGTGCGGTGTGGCAGAGTGCAGGGATGCCTTTCTGAGAGAAGTCTTCATCATCGGGTATATTAGATTGATTCTCCTAAACCCTAAACCCTATACGTTGCAGGATGCAGGATGTTCCTCGTTTTGAAAACACCCAGATACACACCCAAGATCGTGCCATTGATGTCGCAGGCTCTGGCACCTGCACGTCGAGATGCTCAGGTATACACATCCTCGCAGAACTGCCACGACTCCAGTGGAGTCTGGCTCAGCAGCCACATGTCAAGTACACAAAGCGTAGCTTCAAGAAGCCACCCTTCTTCAAACAGAAACCTGGGCCGCTTGATGCGGGGTTTTCCGAGTCCTTGACATCCCGGGTTATCAAATCCAATTCATAGTAAAGCATAGGGTCAATAAGTACATTCAAAGACAGACCCTCGTCGTCTTCGAGGGCTTCATTGTCAGCTTTGTTGGCAGCTTGATGAAAGGAACCTGGCAAGTTTCAGGGTTGTGACGCGAGCATGCGCCAGATCGGCGTGCATGGCATATAGATCATAGATGTCATAGATTAGAAACTATCGACATGCTTTGCCCTCGTACTATGTAGCTCCCGACCCACTTGTATCTTGAATTTCTGGTATGTTTTTTCATGCAGAGGCTGCGGCTCAATGTTTGGGATTTGATGCACGGCAGTGGTACCTGTGCCGGTCGTAGGTCTGCTTCTCCCAGAGCAGAGTCTGCTAGCTAAGAACAATCCGCAGGTGCCAGAGCAATGAATAAAACTACATTGGCAAAGTAGCTACCCAGAGAGCCCCACACCCCTTAATTTCACAACCGTTCCATATTGAGCTTCTTCCCCGATTAAGGTGTATTGAGCGATCTGGGTCTTGGAAAGTGGAGCAAGCAGGTTGTCTCCAGCTGCAGGATCGGGTGATCTGACTTGAATGACTCGTGGGTTGTTCTGAACTGACTAAGGGATCCCCCAAAGTCATCAAACTTATCGTATGAGATAAGGAGCCAGAACAAGCCAGAGCTTTAGAACAACCCCCCCATCATGTCTTCAGCCATCCATGGCTGCAGTCAGCCGAGACGAGGTATGTATCAGAGGACACAGGGAGGACCGACTTCATCGGGCTCTGGCAGCTACTGCAGACGAAGGTCACTCCACCGTACCGCGACTTTACGATACAACGATAGCTAGATTTCGCAACTCTGCTCGAGATGCCATGAACATGGAGGTTTCAGAAAGCCGGGAGTCCCTGGGAACCCTTTTGCAACTGGCCTGCTGCGACTCCGCCAGGACGAACACTTGACCACAATCACTTAGTGAGTAAACCCTAAACCCTAAACCCTGGGAACCCTAAAACGCGGATCCTCCAATGTGTGCCTACTGCTTAAAGAGGCTAGGAGCTAGCTGTAGTAAGCACGGTGAGAAGTAAAGACAATCGTAGGTAGTAACTACCCTGAACCTTGAATCGAGCAGTGGAGACAATGGTTAGGCACGAGCTCCTCAAACCACTCTAGAGCCCTTATAGACCTCCTATAAACCCTCTTCTGATGATTGTGGCCCCTGTCGTAGTGTCCCCTTTTAGCATGGCCGAAGTCAGGGTCCTCCTGTGCTGCTCCAGACGCAGACGCAGAAGGAAAGACGGAACCACACCACCGGGTTTCGGATCAGGCTTCTCTTGGGGTGAGGGTATGGGGTTTAGGGCTTCAGCACTCGCACTCGGACAAGCCTAGGCGGGGGATACCGGTTCGAGTCTCACCGGGGGTTCGGGTTTGGGGTTTAGGGTTGCGGCGCTAGGGTTTTGGGGTCGGGTCGGAGGTCTAGTCCTACCTCAGCATGGCCTTACCCCGGGTGAGCAAGCTTTTGGGGTAAAGTATAGACTAAACATGCCATCATAAGGAAGTCTAAGGACTTGTATTGGTAGTTATTGAGGAACCTCCTTGTACTCTCGAATCGGGGTAGATGGTCCTGCACCCTAAACCCTACAGTCACTCACTCAAAAAACCCGTAAACCCTAAATTCACCCGAAACGGCCGAAGCCCTAGAAAAACCCTACACCCTAGACTCACCCCAAAAAGCCCTAAACCCTAAACCCTGTCTTCACCCGAAAACCCTGAACCCCTAAACGTTTTTTTTCTTGGGGTCTGGGGCTTCCTCCGGCGGAGAGCCGGGCCTAGCAGAAGCAGCTCGAGGAGTCGGCGAGCCCCCTGCCGGCAGAATCTGGGGAAGGTCTTTCAGGGGACTGTAGGGTTTTTTTGCCCAGGGTTTAGGGTTTTAGGGTTTAGGGTCCAGGGTTTAGGGCTTGGGGACTGTAGGGTTCTGGGGTTCAGGGTTTTGTTCCCTCCTACTTGGCAAGGACGAGCCCGCATTGCAGGGTATGTTCGGGTTCAGGGTTTAGGCTTTTGGCTTTAGGCCTTAGGGCTTAAGCTTTAGGCTTTAGGCTGTGGGCTGGCTTAGGGCTTAAAGTTTAGGCTTTACGCTCGCGTGATACAGAACTGAACTCTCTGACCGAAATTAAGGGTTCAGGGCTCCTACAAGGGTTATTGTAAAGTTATCTAACTATACGGGTTACTGTAAGGGGGTCTACTAGAAAGGTTACTATCGAATTCCTACAAAGGTCTATAGTTTATAAAGATAGCTATACTGGTTACAATACGGGTCTATAGAAGGGTCACTATAGGATTGAAGGGGTAGCATAAGGCTTCAAATTCAACCAAGGGTTTAGGGAGTTTAGGGGGTTCGGGATTCTGCTGAGAGGGCTTCAGCCCAAGACATTGCTCCGGAAATCCCCAAAGCAGGATTTGGTTCTGCAGCTCCCGGCGCTCCCGGCCCCACATACTCTGGAGCTACAAAGACATGCAGCCCAAATCCGAAGCCCGACGAAAATGTTACATTATCTTCCTTTAAACTACGGTTGGATTGTCTTACCCTGGTTCATCCCATGGGTTTAGGGTTTAAGGTTTCGGGTTCAGGGTTTAGGGTACTGGAAGCTTGGTTTTGCTTCGCAGAAGCTATCGCCAGGCGTTGAAAAAGCAACGGATCAAGCCATTGCTTCCAGGAAACCCTAGGAGTCCAGTTACCTATATGGGTAGTTGTCAAAATCATGGTCCCTTTTTGGGTACCCTAAATATTAGGTGCCGTATTATTATAAAGACCCAAAAAGGGACCATAATTTTGACAACCACCCATATAGTAAGTACACCGGGTTATTGTGCTGGGAATAACGTGTTTGTGGCCTGGTGTGTGTTTAATTTAATTACCGCTAGCCCATTGCATCATTAATTGCTGCGAAACCTGTTGTAACTCGAGCTCGGCAGGCTGAAGCCGCGAACAAGTTCATAGACGATGGACCACTCTCGAGACCTCAAGGCCTGTTTAGAGGTGGAATGCAAGACGAGTTCTGAAGCGAACGGCACAAATTCTGTAGGCTCCTGAATGTCACTGCATGTGCTGCTGGCTAGTGCTGGTGCTGGGAAACATCTCAAGCCTCCTCTGCTTTGCTGGCGCTACTCCCCGCCCACAAACCAGTGACCTAAACTCACCGACTCACTGTACCCTGAAAGGAGGACAGGTCATGCCGGCAGGACCTGCGAAGGCTCGAACGTCAACATCGTCCGTTTGGCACAGCTCCTGCTAGCCAGTCTCCATCCGGAAACTCCTTCAAGGAAGTTTGACAAGAACCAACAGAAAAGTTGCATGAACGCATTGTTGAGTTCGGACTGCTGCTGCCCGTGCCTACATGAGCTTACCGCGTCTACACAACTTTCGACCAGGCATGCAGCCGCTAGCGGCTGGAACTGAAAGCCTCGTCGCGAAGCACACCAAACGCTTTACAGTGCATCCGGCCTGATGCAACCCTAGAAGCACAGTCGGGCAACTGGTCCTAGACTCTTCAATAGAAGCCTTGCAGTACCCATAACCCAGAAGCCAATGCTTCCAGACATCGCACTCGCATTGACACCACACATGGCAGCTCTGTGTGCCAATTCCCATCCAAGCACGGATTGGAGCTGCAAAGCTTAGAACTTCGACACCGAGGCGATCGTCCGAACAGGGCTTTTGGTTTGGACGTTATTTTCTAGGTGTCGCAGCACATAAACCCTTTAAAGTCAGGCATTTTCCCTGCTATTTAGTATTGATGTTGATGTTGACTTTGTTCGTGTTTGGAACAGGTATAGTCAACTAGAGTTTGGATTGTTTGGGCTTCTGGAAGATAAGTATTAAGGCCTCGCAGCCCCTAGCCCGGGAACCAACACCGAAAACAGCCAACCCTAAACCCTAAACCCCTACTAAAACAGCCCCACACCTTCCAACCGGTCCTTCACTGCGCGGAGCATTGCAGACGGCCAAATCCTCTTGGTCGCCGACTTGGGCTTTCAGGGCTTAAACCTATACAAAACTAAGTAGCAGCAATAGCGTTCAAAAGTTGTTTTAGTGATTGCGAGTGCATCTACAAAAAAAATCGCAATAGTATAATCAGTGGTGGTAGCAGTAGTAGTAGTA